TTTTCGACATTTGAATTGTGTTTTAATGATAATGTTCTTCAAAGTTCTAATTTTCTTAAGTGTAAAAAAAAAAAAAAAAAAAAATCAGCTCACGGTCCTGAAAAGGTAGGTCTAGAATTCTTTTTTCCCCTTTTTTTGGCCCCGTTTATTGTTTTCTAGCAGTGGCGTAGAAAAGTATTTTTCATTGGGGGCGGGGGGATGATTGGCGTGTTAGCCAGTGTCGTAACAGGCGGGTGGGGGGAGTGGGAGGGGGAAACTTCCCCTCCCCTGACGGTTTTTACCTGACCAAGCCGTCGTACCGGGCTGGGTAATAAGAGAAAAGAAAGAGGGGAGAGGGAGGGAAAGAGAAAGAGAAAGAAGAGGAAAAGAAAAGGAAAGGAAAAGAAAAAGAGAAGAGAAAAATAAAGACAAGAATAAAAAGGAAGATATCGGAATGACCAGGCTCACAACACCCTGCAACCACTTCAAAAATTGTCATAACTACTTTGATCTATGCTGCCCGATGGCGTAACCACTGGGGGACAAGGGGAAAATATCTATCTTTGGAAAATCTTCCCCACCCCTTTATAAATACCCTTTTCATCCCCTGAAAGTGCCCATAAACCTAAAATTTCGCGCGCACTTCTTGTTAACATGGGCCAATTTCCTCTACAAAATTGCACATTTTAGGGAGTTTTGATCAATTCCAACGAAATTAGAATTTAAAAAAAAACCGGGGGACAAGGGGAAAATATCCATCTTTGGAAAATCTTTCTCCACCCCTTGACAAATGCATCCTCTGAAAGTGCCTAAAATTCTCAAATTCTTTGCGAGCATTTCTTGTTACGGTAGGCCAATTTCCTCTATAAATTGCACATTTTAAAGAGTTTTCATCAATTCCGACGAAATTATAATTAAAAACACAAAAATATTTTGTGCGCTTTGCACGCATTTTAAAGTTATTTAATAGGTTTATCCTTTTAAGTTATTTAAACACATAATAGTCCTAAACTCAAGAAAGACAAATTTAAGATAGATCGTTTTAACCTACTAAAAAAAGGGCCTCAATGTATATTGATGGTGAAAGAATATGTTTGTAATAAATAAAACCATGATGAAAATGTATATATTTAGTTTTAAACACACGTGTGTGGCCTATATTATAAATAAGATAAGCCCTATGTCGTATTGTTTTCTATATGGGGAGTGGGGTGGGGTGGGTATGGTACTAACCGGGAAAATAAATACCCGGGAAAATAAATACCCACTCTGACCCAAGCCCCTGTTACGCGCCTGGTGTTAGCGCCAATGTGTGCCCTTGTGAGAACAGGGGATGTGCCCCCCTCTGAAGCTGGAAACCTTGTTTTTGCAAAATAAATTGATGCAATTTGCTATTAAAGGCCTAATCAATAAATTCAGCATCAACCGATATAACCTTAAACATTCTTGGAATTGACATAACATTACTGATGTCGTACACACCCTTGAGTGTGAAATGTGGCTCTC